TTCTCCCACACTTGCCTTCTTGCCTTCAGAAGTCATTCTTACGTGGATGGGATATCATCTTTAGACCAGCACTCACTACAGCTTTATCCAAGCACAAAAGCAATGCCAACATTTCATATCCGCCGTCAGCTCTGTGGCATCAGACTGTCTGGCTTGGCCCCCCCTCTGCTGCTCCTCAGCTCGGAGCCGGCAAGTCTCCCAACGCTCTGAGCTACAGTCTCTCATCTGTGAAACCAGGAAATAGTAATGCCTGGCTCCCAGTATTACTGTGAAGATCAAGTAAGATTAGATAGACCGTGAGTAACTCAAGGGCATAGACTGTATGTCATTTGTCTTTATGTTCCTGGGGTCTGGCAAAGTTTGTGATCATAAGCATTTGGTAGTGAATGAATGAGCAAAGGAACGTATAAATGGGGAATGTTTATAAAGTATAAAGGATCACATAAATAGCCCAAGGGTAATAGCTCCTATGCTGAATATATCGCTGGCTCCCTTGGCCTTCATTCCTCTTCTACAGTGCAAGGAGACTGCTGTGGATTATTCTCCAGGTCCCTCTCAGCTCTGAGCTTCTTTGATTCTGTTCCTGTTTACCTTTTAAACTCCCAGTACATACTTTACTAGCCTGCATCCTTATTTTCAAATATCATTTTAGTTTGAAATAGATGTAGATTTACAGAAGAGTTATTCCTTTGACCTTATCTTTCAGAACTCTGGTGCCTTGAGGAACACTAAGGATTTGGCATTAAAATAGCCCTACACTCCATACTTCATTTGGATTTCACCAGTCTTTGCACTAATGCCCTTTTTCTGTTCCAAGATTCAAACCAGAATCCATGTGGCACTTGGCCCATGTGGCTTTTGAGATAAAGAGCTCACTATTCTTTTTTTTTTTTTTTTAAAGCTTATTGGGATATTAAAATTTGGGGGAGAGTAGAAATCTAATGAAGAGTGTATCTTAAGGTGAGTGTGTCAGGCATCCTCTGTATGTTTTAGAGAACTTTGGGAAGTCTCCAAAGACCATCTTGCACGACTGCAAATGCAACTAGTCGAAATGAGACGTGAACAGTAAAGTTGGGACCTATATTATAGACAGTGGAATACTGAGAATCACAAATGTAAACCAAATGGTTTCCCCTGCAGGAAAATCTGCAGGCTTCTTTGTTGAGGGTGGTGGGAGCACTGGTTAGGATTTGGACTGCCCAAGCCACTCACTAGTCTGATTTAGTCTTGCATACACATTTAGTGGGCCTACTATGCACAAGCATTACACTAGGCACTGGAGAATATTCTATGCAGCACTGAATAAGACAAAGCCCCTACATTTGCAAAGTTGGTTTGAAGGAGACAGACAATACACAAATTCAAATTGACTAATGACAGGTGCACCACAACAAACACAAAGCAGGTTGCGGAGTAGAGGGTGAGAAACGTAAGTTTAGAGAAAGTGGTCTGAGAAAGACTCTGAGGAGGTGGGGACTGTGTGTCCTGAGTGCTCAGAACCACAGATCAGCAGGGATTTCCCTGGACTACACAGAGCCCTGGACTCTATTAGAATCAGATTATGGAAAACTGAGTGTCTGTCCACTGTTCTCAGGTTCAGATGGACGTAGATGCTAACACAGCTCTGTGGGATAGTTTTCCTTTCTCCTCTTCTCTATAGTGTGGTTTGTCTTTCATGCATTCGTTAATTTAAATTGTCAGCTCTAATAGAAGCTGTCATTTTAAAAGGTCTTCCTGAGCTACTTTGAAGTCCAGGGGAGGGGAGTAGGGAAGAAGACAGCAGGTGCCAGTATGCACAATGCTGTTCCTCTGAATTCAGGCTCTGCGCGTAGCTGGCTTGTCCAAGCTTGGCCTCGTCAGATTCCAGAGTCTCTAAACCTTTATTGACCGCCCAGGAGGTGCCAGGCATTTGTTTACATTTAGATATAGGGTTCCTCTATACATATAGAGTTCCCCTACACATGTTTCCTTTTGCCCCTTTTGTGAAGTGGGTGTCACACCTTTGTTTTCTTCCTGAATGAGGAATCAAGCGCACAAGACCACAGGGCCAACAGATGATAGAAACGGGAGCTGTGAATCAGGGCTTCCCGATTCTAAGATCAAAGCTCCTTTCACCGCACGACAGCTGAGCCTTACTAGAAAATTCCAGATTCATCTTGTTCCATACAGGACCAACATGTCTTACAGCTTGTGCTATGTCACTTTAGAGGAGTCCCTGGGAACAACAGAGCCTGCCTTGAAGCAGAAAAATGCCACTCTTGGGACCTAGATAAAGCCTCCTGGTGGTCATTAGTTGGGGAGCCAGCATCCACACTCCAGAATCTGGCTCCCAAAGAGGTGGTTTTCTACAGAGAAACCATAGCAAACAGCAGTGTTACGAGTCACCCAGCCACGGTTGGAGCACCTTTTAAATCTGTGCTCTTATTAGCAAGTATCTTTATTTTTTTACTTTTATATTTTTTTTTTTAGCAAGTGTCCTTAGTAGATCCCATGTATTATTGTCAAATCTGTGTTCAAGACTCCTCCTCCCTCTTAAAATAAACCTGCAAGCTGATTCAGTTATACAAGACAGCCAAATTGCACAAAACCATCAACTCTTTCCCCAGAGCGGATTGCAAGCTTGCAGCCCATGGGAAGATGTAACTGCCCCTCAGCCTACTAGCAAATTCTTTCCTTCAGATTTTTTCACTGACAGTGAAGTCTAAACGCAAAACAATAATCATCTAAAAAAGTGCCTCTGGGGTAATTGGTATCGGCCCTGGGGCAAATGAGTTTTACTGTAAAGGAGGTATTTTTCATGTTCGTGCATTTTTTACTCTGTGATTAGCAGAGTAGGAGGCCACATAGGGTGGAAAAGAAGGAAAATCATTTGACTCAGCATAGCCCAAAATGTGGAGGAGGAGGTGGAAGAGTGACCTTGCCTGTCAGCCTCTCTCTGGACTGGACTCCCATTGGCCAAACAAAATCATGTTATGTCCACTCCCTTCCTCTTTTTCTTTTCTTCAAATAGTCTGGGAGTTAATGACAAACCAGATGCAAGTTGGCAAGTTTAAAACTAAACATCATTTGCCTCCTCTGCCGAGCAGGGATAAACACAAGGATCAACAGAATGCAAGAAAAATCCAAGGGCATTTTCAGGGCCAAACAGAGCATGGCGTATTGGAGTTGTGGATTCTTCTGGGATCATGTAGTGTGACCACTCATTTTCCAGATGAGGAGGGAACCTAGAGAGTTGAACCACTGGCCCAAAGTCACATGGTCTTTAGAACCAGAATCCAAATCCAAGCCTTCTGACTCAGAGCCCAGGGCTTTTCCTGTGGGGTTAACTAGGTTGGTCCTGAGCCCCGTGCCAGGCAATGGGACCTGCTGCAGGTCTTTGAGGCGAGGCTGGACTCTGAGTTGGCCGCCTATCAGGAGGAGTTTGGGATAATTAAATCTGCTCACCAGAGGCAGTGGGGTGGACAAAGAACGCCTAAAGAAGGGCCCCGTCTGCAGCAGCCTGTGTGACCTTCTCCCCATCCCTTCTACAGGCTGGCTTAGCCCCTGGTCAGTCAGTTACCAAGCTGGTCCCCAATCCTCCAGGGCTGGGCTGGTGCTCTGACCTTGCAGATTCCATCCTCCCAGGACAAAGAACGGCCTTGAGTCCAGTCCTGGCCCTGGGCTGCGCCAACAGCCCACACTGGGTAGGGGGAGCAGACTTTCAAGTAGCTCATCACTGTGACCATGCACATACACTTTGGAGTTAAGACTCACTAGACCCAAATCCTGGCTCTACAACTTTCTGGCTGAGGAAACACTTGGGTCTCTAGATGACAGTTTGTCTACCTATAAAATGACTTATAGATTTGTTTTGAGCATTAATGAGGTAATCCACATAAAGTACTCAGCATGGTGCTAGCTCAGGGTAAGCACTCAATAAATGGTGGCTGCTTTTACTACTCAGAGGTCCCTTCTCTTGCCTGGCTCCTCCACAGGTCATTGTCTTTTCCTCCTGGTCTCTCATCATGGGTCTGTCTGTTGATTGAGTGATCCCCCAAAGCTTGATCACCCCAACCCCCTCTATGCCACGTGCCTGCTGGAACCCTCACAGAGTCCTGCTCTACAACTGGGCTTCCTTCTCTCTGGACCTGCCTCCTTCAGGGCTCACCTCCCCCTCCCCACCTCCAGGGTGCCTGTCCCCCCCCCACCCCCTCCGGCCCCATCCAGGCTGAAGGAATAACCAGCCTAGCAGATGTAGTACCGGGATGGGCTCCTGACCAAGTACCTGGGGCTGGAACAGTCACACCCCACAGCGAATCACAGACTTGGACCATTTCCATGCCATTGACTGTGGCAGAGCCCAGTCAGGCAAAGAACAGCACTTCTCCCCAAAAGTCTTTAGTAAACGATTTTACAGCAGTGAAATCCACTTTCAGCTCAGAGAGAGAGAAGGATCTCAGTACTTATAATTGAGAGAGCACATCTGATCGGGGCAGTAGAGAGAGATTTAATTTCGCTTCTCTTTGCTTAAATTTCTTTGTCCCCTCTCCCCTATTCACTTGCTTTCAGTTCATATTTCTCAAACTGTCTGTGGTGAGGGTCCAGTCATTTATTGTCCCTAGACTATTGTGGACCAATACTTTTGTAAAACAGTAAAACTAAATTACTGCAAAATGACAAAGTCATCTGGACATCATAACAGTGTTGATTTGCAATAAAGTGTCTTAAAAACTTTCAATTTCTGTGCTTATCTTTCTGCAGGCTGGGAAACTTTTTCAGACCCACAGTAACCGTTAGACCAAATTAGGAGGAGGGTTGCTTCTGGAAGGAACAGAAGCACAGAGGAGCCTGTCTGCTGCGGGCACTCCCCATCCTGGGTCTCTGTCCTGTAATGCCGTCTGTTGGGTAGCAGAGCAAGCAACCGTGCCCTCCTGGCCTAGTCCTTGGAGGCTGCGGTCAAGCAGACCCCACGAGATGGATGTGCCACCAAGTCCCCGCCCGAGAACGCAGGCTGCCCTTACCACTCCATTCCAGCTCTGTTGATCTCTTCCCACCAGCACTCCGTGGGCTCCCCGAGGTTCTGGGGCGTGGGCATGCAGGCATAGTTCCACTGTCTGTCCGAGCCTTCTTTCTTGTTGAAGATGCTCCTCACGGCCACCACCACCTGCCCATGAGGGCACTGGTAGCTGAAGCCTTGCCGGTTCAGGTTGACCCACCCGTCGTCGCTGTAGTCATGGTACTGCTGGTAGGGGTGCCCGTAGTCGCCATACTGGCCCCAGGCCACGGTGAGCAGGGGCAGCAGTACCCATAGCTGAGTGAGGTCCATGCTGCCTAGGCTTCTGGCAAAAAGTGTCACCCTCAGTCTGCTGGGCTGACTGTTTTATACGGCTGCCGCTGACATGTGGCCTCCAGATGTGGGAGAGCAGGCTCCAAGTGCAGTGTGTCATTGTTTAAGCAAAACCTCGGCGTGGAGAGCCTGGCCATGAGTCCGTCCAGCTTGTTTTAAGGTGGAATTCTAGGAAAATGTAAGGAACATACAAACGAAAGAAAGTCCCTGGAGAAAGAACAACTCTGCAGGGAGATTATAAAAGCAAATGGCTTCACACCCCTCAGAAGTGTTCACCTGAGCCAGCAGCGTGTCTGCCCCTCATGTCTCAGGACCTCACGTGCCTCTGCTCCCCTCCTCCAGCAAACCCCTGCATTCCTTGTCCCAACAGGCCTCCCAGAGCCCCACAGATACCCAGAGTGATTTCAAAACCCCAAAATAATAGGCATGAAGGGACAGAGTCATTTAGATTTCTGCAAGGCTAGATGCCTGGTTTCTTTTAAGTTCTCAGCCCAACGTCTTTGATCTTGAATTGTACTCATGCCATGCCAATTTTTGAATTATTAAGTCACACATGGAAGTGCTGTGGGTCCCAGGAAGGGAAGTTAGGCGCTTTCTTGCACCTGTGGGCCCCGGGAAGAGAAGCTGGGCACTATCTCTACACTTGAGCTTCCCCCTAAGCTGCTGATATTGGACCCCGCTACATCTACAAGCTGCACTCTGCTCTCCAGTGTTAACGAATTTATTCCGAATCATCTGAACTCATCCTTCAGTGTTTTTCCTCCTTATTTGGGATTTTCTTTTTATTGAAGTATGACGGACATGTAATGAAATTCATCTGTTAAAATGTTTGGCATGTGGTCATTTAACCCACACAATAACTGAGACCTTGAACAGGTGCATCAATCGCCGAATCCCCTTTAGACCCCTCGGTGATCAAATAGTCCCCAATGGCCTGTTCCTGGTAATCCCTGATCTACTTTCTGTCACTATGGCGTTACTACTTCCAGAATGTCAAGTAAATGGAATCATACATAGTCTTTTGTGTCTGACTCGTTTCCCTTAGAATAATGCTTTCTAGATTAATCCACGTGGTTGTGTATGTCAGTAGTTCGTTCTCTGTACTGTTGAGCGGTGTTCTATGTTATGGTGATAGTACAGGCTGTTTATACATTTACCAGTTGAAAGACAATTGGAGGTTTGTTTTTTTTTCCCCCAGATTTTGGTAATTGTGGGAAAAGCTGCCATAAATACACATGTACATGATTTTTTTTTTTGCATGAACTTTGTTCACAAAGTTTGTGTGAACACATTTTTATTTCATTTGGGCAAATACCTAGGAGTGGGGTTGCTGGACCATAAGGTAAGTTTATGTTTAAGTTTATAAGAAGCTATCTGATATGTAAAGCGGCTGATCCACTGTGAGTCCCTCCCAGAAAATTGTCATTTCTTTCTTCTTTTAACCATTTTAATTGGATAATAGGTATCTAGTGGTATTTCAGTGATGGCATTTCCCTAAGGACTAATGATTTTGAGCATTTTGTCATGTGTTTATCAGGCACCATATGCCTTCTTAGGTGATTTAGCTGTTCAAATCTTTTGAGTCTTTTGGGTGTCTCCTAAGTGCAGAGTATTTCCTATTTTCCATTCTTCATTAAGGTTGACCGTAAGGACTGTTGGTGGGAATGTAAACTGGTACAGCCCCTCTGGAAAACAGTGTGGAGGTTCCTCAGGAAACTAACACTAGAACTCCCCTATGACCCAGCAATAGCACTGCTAGGAATTTACCCGAGGGATACAGAAATGCTGAGGCACAGGAGCACATGTACCCCAATGTTCATAGCAGCACTCTCCACAATAGCTAAAACATGGAAAGAGCCCAAGTGTCCATCAACAGATGAATGGATCAAGAAGATGTGGTTTATTTATACCATGGAATACTACATGGCAATGAGAAACAGTGAAATCTGGCCATGTGTAGCAACGTGGATGGACCTTGAGGGTGTGATGCTGAGCGAAATAAGTCAGGCAGAGAAGGACAAATAACATATGTATGCACGTATAGGAGGATTAGGAGGAACTTGACGGAGGAACAAGGGGGAGAAGAAGGGCGGAAATGGTGGGGGAAAGGGAGAGAGGCAAACCATGAGAGACTCTTGAATGCTGACAAAAACTGAGGACTGATGGATGTGGGGGGGGGGGGGGTGATGGGCATGGAGGAGGGCACTTGTGGGGATGAGCACTGGGTGTTATGTGGAAACTAATTTGACAATAAACTATTTGTAAAAAAAAAAAAAAAAAAAAAAGGTTGACCGTAAGGAAGTTTCTTTAAACTGTGGTTGTAGACTAATGATCTCTTAACCCCCATGATGTTTATTAAAATGCAGACTCCTGGGTTCCACTCCAGAATGTACTAAATCTCAACATCACAGCGGGTGCACAAGTGCCTACAGTTTAAAAAAAAGTTTTCTACATGATTCTTATTCACATCACATTTAAGAACCACTTTCCTAAAGGAATGTGGAGCTAGGGGAAAGGGATACCACACTATAAATCCATGCCTTGTCCCACCAAGAGCACATACACCAGATAGCATTCAGGCTGGATTAAACATCCAGGAAATCCTGAAGGAGAAAGAAAGTTGCACAAGGGAAGGAAGCATGTGTGTGTGTGTGTGTGTGTGTGTGTGTGTGTGTGTGTTGGTCATACAATTTGCTCTGAGATTGTGTCTACCAAAGGGAGGGGGAGAGGCCGTGGGCTGGACAGGTAAATGAGGATCAGTTTTGTTTTTCGTATCATCTTTTCCTATCACTTTACCCCTAAGTAATATCCCACGGCTGGCAACTGATGTCCTCCAAGCTTAGGGCAACCACTTTGAGTTCTAATATGCTGGAACAATAGTTCTCAACCCTGTCAAAAATTACCACTCAGGAATTACCTGGGAGATTTTGAAAAACACCAGTGTCTGAGCCTCATCCCAGACCCACCAGACCAGATGCTTCTGAGCGGGGCCCAGACTAACAGTGCCCTTTTAAACCTTCCTGTATGATTCTCATGTACAGCCAATGTTGAGAACGACTACTATAGAGGATTGATTAACTGATCGATTGATTGACTTACTGATTTTCCTCCATCCCTTTCCCTTAAGGGTTTTAAATTGTAGCACGCTGATGGTCATGAATTAGCCTGCATTCTGAGTATGATGCATGAGTAATCTGAAACCTTAAAGAACTCCCAGAGAGAGAGCCAATGCAAGTCATTGCAAGCACTTAGCTTTATTGTACATTCGTTTCCCAACCATTTCCCGGCCCCGCCCGTTCCCTGTTCTGTGCAGATGTCCTCTGGCCTTACAGCTTAGAGATGCCAGGGCTGGACTCCCTGCAGTGTGCAGAAGTAAACATCGTGATAATTTCGGCCAGTGTGGGTGTAGATTCCTGTTACTTAGAGCTGAAAGCATCCCAACTTAATGCAATGTCTCAAGGGAGCCCAGAAACTGCTGAGGGTTTTGAGTGAGTTGCCGGAGGCTTCACAGAGAATGGTATTCCTGAGCGGACACTAGCATCCCTCCTCATCAGGGAAATACAAATCAAAACCACACTGAGATACCACCTCACACCGGCCAGAGTGGGTAAAATGAGCAAATCAGAGGACTCTAGATGCTGGCGAGGATGTGGAGAAACGGGCACCCTCCTACACTGTTGGTGGGAATGTAAGCTGGTGCAGCCCCTCTGGAAAACAGTGGGGAGGTTCCTCAAAAAATTAACTCTAGAACTCCCCTATGGCCCAGCACTAGCACTGCTAGGAATTGACCCAAGGGACACAGGAGTGCTGATGCATAGGGGCACATGAACCCCGATGTTCATAGCCGCACTCTCAACAATAGCCAAAACATGGAAAGAGCCTAAGTGTCCATCAACGGACGAATGGATCAAGAAGATGTGGTTTATCTATACGATGGAATACTTACATGGCAATGAGAAACAGTGAAATCTGGCCATGTGTAGCAACGTGGATGGACCTTGAGGGTGTAATGCTGAGAGAAATAAGTCAGGCAGAGAAGGACAAATAACATATGTTTGCACGTAAAGGAGGATTAGGAGGAACTAAACAGAGGACCATGGGGGAGAAGAAGGGGGTAAATAGTGGGGGAGAGGGAGAGAGGCAAACCATGAGAGACTCTTGAATGCTGAGAACAAACTGAGGACTGATGGGTGTGGGGGGGAAGGGAATAGGGGGATGGGCATGGAGGAGGGCACTCGTGGGGATGAGCACTGGGTGTTGTTGGAAACCAACTTGACAATAAACTATTAAAAAAAAAAAGAAATGCAAATTCCCTGGTCCCACCTCAGACCTAATGAATCAGACATGTGGGGGTGGGGCCCAGCAATCTGTGGGGTTTTTTTTCTCTTTTGCATTTTTTTTAAGTCTCCAGATTTTTAAAATTTATTTTTTATTTAAATCCAAGTTAGTTAACAGATAGTGTAATAATGATTTCAGGATTAGAATTTAGGGATTTATCACTTACATGTAACACCACTGCTCATCCAAACGAGTGCTCTTCTTAAGGCCCATCACCCATTTAGCCCATCCCATCCCCCCACCCTCCACCCGTCCAGCAATCATCAGTTTGTTCTCTGTATTTAAGAGAGTCTCCTTTTTTAGTTTAGTTTGTTTGGTTGTTTGTTTTGAGAGAGAGGCAGAGAGAGTGAATAGGGGAGAGGCAGAGATAGAGGGAGAGAGAGAATCTCAAACAGGCTATGCACTGTCAGCACAGAGCCTGATGCAGGGCTTGAACTCATGAACCATGAGATCATGACTTGAGCTGAAACCAAGAGTCAGAGGCTTAACTGACTGAGCACTCAGGAGCCCCATGTATTTAAGAGTCCCTTATGGCTTGTCTCCCTCTCTGTTTTTATTTTATTTTCCCTTTCCTTCCACTATGTTCATCTGTTATGTTTCTTGAATTCCACATATGAGTGAAATCATATGATTTTATATTTTTCTGACTGATTTAT